ATTAAAGCTGCTGTGGCTCTTTCCATGACCTATAGTCAAACATTTTGAGTCACACAAGGAATTGTATGTAGTCTCAACTAAGGATGTTAACTAGCGGTTAATTTACTAGTCAAGTAGAAGATGGAATTTCCATTGACTATTCAACTAGTTGGTAGGCACTTCGCATTCCTCCTTTGAAATGTACAAGAGCCCCCGAATGCTAGAGCCAGCTCCACCTCAAATGCCCTATTCCCTAGGCCACTCCAGAACCCACTCCACCTACCTTCCGGGCATCCCTTATCCTGTCTTCCGAGTGCTAGAGCCAGCTCTTGTACATTTCAAAGGAGTAATGTGGAACTCTGTGTGCACCCCAGGGCCAGCGAAAAGTCCTGCTGGCCTCGGGCTGCACATGAGCATGCCAGCTTTGAAATGTACAAGAGTCCACAGTGGAGAGAGAGAGAGCTCAGTGGTTTGAGCATTGGCCTGCTAAACCCCGGGTTGTTAGTTCAATCCTTGAGGGGGCCACTTAGGGATCTGGGGCAAGTCTGTCAGGGATGGTACTGGTCTTGCCATGAGGGCAGGGGGACTGGATTCAATGACTTCTCAAGGTCCCTTCCAGTTAGGTATATCTTCATATATTGATTGCATTTCAAAGTGGAAGTGCCCTTATGGAGCCTGGGGTCAGCTGGGGAGCCCTGCTGACTCTGGGCTCTGCTGGTTTGAAGCACTGAAATGGCATTTCAAAGGGTTAGTGCTACACAGCTGATGCCGGGATCAGCTGTGCAGCACTACTGCTTTGAAGTATCCCCTCTTCTCTTCCCCCTCTCCCCCGCCCTGCTGTTCTGCCTTTATCTGATACAGGCAGCAAGGGGGGGAATCGACTAGTCAACTGACTATCTAATAAACATTTGCTTCTCCGTTAGTCGACTAGTCAACTATTCTTTAACATCCTTCGTCTCAACACTGCTTTCCAGCTGGACCCTGATCTTGCCGCTTTATGGCACATCCTCCATGGTGTGGCTCTAAAGAAATAATGCACTCTAAGAAAGCCAGTTACACATAACCATCCTTCATAGTAATCATTTGTTTTCAGCAGAATATGCTGAGTTACAAATAGTGTGAATCTTCAGACCACAATATTTTAAAGTAACTAAGTCAGTCAATGATTTTTTCCCTTAATTTATACAATTTCTACCTAGAAACTACAAGCTGCACTGTTTAAAAACATTAAATTTCACCAATATGCCCGTCTTTCTGTGAATTAATTTCATACAGTCTAAAATATTACACTGTCAAGTTTTCTTTAGAGGCAAAATAATACTGCACATATTTTACAAATTTCCATTAAGGATGAAATATGTCCCAATTGTGATTTTTGACAGTGGATATTTTTACCCCCGCCTTTCTATTTAAAATATTCTCCTACATTAAAAAAGCATTTAAAAAAAAGCCAGTGATGCAACTGTAAATATATTTTTTTATTCAAACCTGGATTTGAGGCCCCAAACACTTTTTAGACAAATTAGGAATGTTAATGCTTTTGTTTATTTTTAAAATAGTTATACATATAACTATTATTAATCATGTATCTGAAGAATAAATATTATGTACAATTTCACAAGAGCAGGCAAATTTCTCTAGTAATATTTCTGCTATTAAAACATCACCACAATTTTACTCACTGCCATGACATCTGGTTTCATTCTTATTAGGAATGCGAACGACTAATCGACAGGCTAGTTGGCTAGTCACTTCCCCCCACTTGCTGCTCTATCAGAATGAGACAGCAAGGGGGGTGGAATAGGGGGTACTTCAAAGAATCAGCACCGCATGGAGTCTGGGGCCAGACCCAGGGCTCCATGCAGCACTGACGCTTTGAAATGCTATGTGCAGCCTGGTATTAGCTGGGAGTTTCCAGCTGGCCCAGGCTGCATGCAGCATTTAAAAGCGGCAGCACCGCATGCAGCAGGGACTCCCCGCTGATCCCAGGCTCTATGCCACGCTGCTGCTTTGAAACGCCGCATACAGCCTGACACCAGGCTCCCTGTGGCATTTCAAAGCGGCAGTGCCTCGTGGAGCCCAGGGTCAGTTGGAGACTGCCACTTTGAAATGCTGCAGGGAGCACAGGACTACTTGATTCCTGTGCTGGCCCCGTGCTTCTCGCAGCGCTTTCCCTTTTAAGTATAGCAAGAGCCCTGGGGCTGTTGCTAGACTTCAAAGGGGAAAGCGCCCTTCTCAACTAATCAAATAGCCAAATAATTGAAATTTTACATCCCTAATTTATTTATTTATTTATTTATTTAAATATTTTTACCCCCGCCTTTCTATTTAAAATATTCTCCTACATTAAAAAAACATTTAAAAAGAAGCCAGTGATGCAACTGTGAATATATATTTTTTCATTCAAACCTGGATTTGAGGCCCCAAACACTTTTTAGACAAATTAGGAATGTTAATGCTTTTGTTTATTTTTAAAATAGTTATACATATTACTATTATTAATCATGTATCTGAAGAATAAATATTATGTACAATTTCACAAGAGCAGGCAAATTTCTCTAGTAATATTTCTGCTATTAAAACATCACCACAATTATTGGTTTGAACCAAAGTCTATTGACATTAATAGGACTTTTAAAAGAATTGATTTGAATAACATTTGGATCAGGCTCTGTAGATGCAATTAAGGATCAGTGTGAAAGTAGACAGACACATTCATTATTATTTGTACATTCTTTACCTATGTAGAGAGGTTTATTGATACCAGGTATTCCTGCATCCTTTTCTTCAGAATAACAATCAATTTGATTTTTTTTTCAGAAAGTATAGGATCTATGTTAGTTATTGTTCATATTTAAAAGTAACATTCATGCATGAATATAGCAAGGACACATCTTTTAATTGAAGCACTATCTATGCATTTAGTTTTTATATCTTATATTGCAGATAGAACCAACCAACGGGGACAATCCAAGCATCAAGAAATCCCTCTTTCCTCTTTTTAATTCAAAGAATCATTTAAAGCATAGTTCTTCTTTGAAAAAGCTTCCTGTAGTCACTCTACCCATGGTATTAATTTTTAAGTACAGTAGCACTGAAAAACGCACCAGTAAACTTGTTTTACTGAATACATCAGCATGTATTATATTTTCATGGAGTCACATTCTCTTTAAGCCTGTTAAGTATCTTGGACCAGTTCCATAAATTCAAATACAATCAGCAGTCCTATCAGGATAAAATTAATACAAAGGATTCATAATTGAGTCATCTGAGACATACTCAAAATATAATATATTCAGTTACTAAAAGAGGAGGAAGAGTTTGGGACTAAATAAAGAAGACACATTCTCAGAAAGCAGGTGCACTTTAAAATAGAGGACTTTCCTCTTTTGTTTGATTAGTAAAAAAAACCTTTAAAATAATTTGGCTTATAAATTGTATTTATATTTTGTTTACAGATTATTCTCTTATGTCCAAATTTAATTATTCAACTACTGTAACTGCAGGCTCAGTGAAAGATCAGTTTTTATTAGCTTGTGTTGCTACTGGATTTTTCTTTGTTCTAGTTGTTATTTGTGGCCTTTTTTAAACGAGAGCAAATTTTGGTTGTCTTGTTTTGTGTTTGTCTGTCATTCCATGGAATTGTGATATGAGGTCAATCCCTATAATATATTTAAATCTTTACATTTTTCTTCATCCTCAAGTTTTACAGAGACACACATAGTTGAACTTGAGTATAGGATTCCCATACATTTGTAGTAGCAAGACTTAGCAACATACCCAGTGGAATACAGTTTTGATCTATTTTTATCCAGGGCAAAATTTGGCTTTACAGAACTGGCCCACGGTCTTAACTGCAATATGGAATGCTATTGAAATGATGATAAGGTGCAGCAATTCTTTTTGTAGTCTTTTTAAATGCTCTCTCTTCCAGCAACTAACAGCATGGGATTGCTTTAAGGGTTGAGGCTATAACAAATCTGCATGATATCCACAAATATTATTATTTAATATGGGGGGAAATATTGAGGAGACATTGCAACTCAGCTGTATTACTGGGCTTCACCTGCATTGTATAATTAACTAGGAATGCGGGTGATTTCTACACCTGTTCTTAGGGACCTACTGAAATCCCCTGTTCACTATTATGTTGCAGATGCCTGGCAGTGATGGTCAGGATCTCTTGGCAATTCAGAAAGCCATTCACTCTTCCAATCTCCAGAGCGGCAGGCCGAAGGATTGGCATCCTGAGAAGATGACAGAAATCCAGACTCAG